ATATATATAGTCTTGTGTATAAATAGTACATATGTAACTGCATTAAATGCTGATTCTTTTGTACAAGGAATAAGAGACTGCAGTCGTCACAAACACATAGCAGCAATTAACCAATCTTTATGCGTTCATTTCAAAACAGTGACAGTGTTTCATTTGCGGCTCACATCGGATTGGCCGGGTCCCGTTCGAGCGTCCCCTCGCTGAAGACGCCGCTGGGCCGTGTTGCGCATTTCAAGGAGTCATCTCCGCAATTTTCCGATTGCAAAGTCACAGCAAGGCTCCCGACGTCTGTTCGTTTGCTCAATACTCAAGAAAATGTGTTCGACGCCTTTGTTAATAATCATGCACACGACCTGTTCAAAACGCATTCATCCAGACATTGCGCTGTTTAAAAAAAAAGTCCTCTTCGGTGTCTTTTAAATGTCCCGTCAAACGATGCGCAAAATGAGCGCGTAATCCAGCCAAGAAATTCGTGTTGCGGCGTTCGCAGTAGACAATCCACTCACATCATCGGATGCCTGGACATGCCATCCTGGTGAGGATGTTGGTTGGGGTACCAGTGGCCCAGATTGTTCATGTAATTGTTGGGGTACATCGGGCCACCTGCTTTATTAGCCTGCATGGACACGTCCCAAAGTTGCGGCATAGTGTGAGGCGAGCACGGCGAGGCCGAGCTGGTGCTGCTCAGGTGCTCGCCTTCGGGTCCGCTCCCGTGCTTCATGATTTTTTTGTACTTGGAGCGCTTGTTCTGAAACCAGATTTTCACCTGTAAAGAGGAGAGGGGAAAAAACGCTGCACTTTATTGTCCGATCGGCTGCAACCCAATTCAATTCGATGTGATTGTTGAACATTAAACAATTGTATTTTATTGAAGCAGTGACGGCGCCTGATTATCAAACGCAGCAATTTTGCTCACTCGATCGGAAAATGACAATTTATTTCACGATACGGGATGTATTCGTTCATCTATTAAGGCAGCGACGTGTTGCGACAGAACAGTTGAAATGCTCTCCCACGACCCACTTTTTGGGACGTTGTTTGGCGAGTGAGATTTTTTGAAATTGAAACATCATATCACTTGACAATGGAACGTAATACGTTAAAAGTGCATTTAAAAAAAGTACAGTATTCACAAACTAATGATGCTATAATCTTCTGGCACTCTTAGAGAGTTATTTGTTTAATGATGTTTTTTTATGAGGAGTATTACGGCGCGTATAATTTTATAGGCCACAAATGAAAGTCAAAATATGAGAAACAGCTCTCTGTTAGGGGTCAACACCGTCATCGTTATTGTTTCGAGTCACGTCATCGTTATTATTTCGAGTCAAAACGAATATTACTTCCTCATTCCACTTCGCATGTATATAATTAGAGCGAGTAAATGGGGGGGGGGGGGTTTTTTACTGCGTCTTAATGAGACGATTCATAGCCTTGACATTCTCACACGTAATCGAACGCAGTGTTCACTTCATCCAAAAACCAATTTCAGGCAGCTACATGTAATTAGACAGCGTCCAATTATCACACGTACGCCGGATCTAATGTGTCGCGTAACCATGAAGCGTTCGCGAGCTGATTTCTTAACTTGTGGTTAAGGCGCTTTAATCAAACAGTGTAATTAGTGGAGTAAATAAGTCAGGCGTTATGAGATCCGGTGACAAATCACAACAATTATGCTTTGGGATTTGCCCCCCCCTCCCTCCCCCTCCACTCCCCGCACACGTTTGATCTCCAGGCGTGTCTGGAATGATTCCTGATCATTTTATTTTAACCTGCAAGGCAAGTTAGATTAAAAAAAAAAAGACTTTTTGTTTCAGTTATTCTCTAGCCGATATGAGTGACAGTCTGGGGCGGCCACCTGAGTCTGAGTTAGTCCCAGTTTGGCCGCCAGGTCTGCGCGCTCGGGCAGGGCCAGGTACTGGGTCTGTTGGAAGCGCTGGTGCAGAGCCTGCAGCTGCAGACTGGAATAGATGGTGCGGGGCTTCCGGATCTTCTTCCCTTTGCCATTTAAACGCACGTCCCGGTTTTCCAGCGCGGGGGACTTGTCGTGATCTGGGAATCAAATCAGTTCAAGATGAAGTGTGACCATTTCGGATGATATTGTAAAGTGATGTGCAAGATTGAAGCAGGATGACACAAAAGACTCACGTGCTTATTTGTGCATGCACAACCTATCTATACTTATTTACAGTTGAGAATGACATTTCCTAATGACAATATAAAAGACGTCTTTCTGCTATTGTGTTTAGTGAGAATTAGCACAAAAAAAAAACAAGGTTGACGACAGCTCCCCTTTGCTGAAAAAGACTGTTGTCAAACTCAAGGCCCATGGGCAACATTTGGCCGACGTCATTTTTTTGTGGTCCACCGAAGAAGAAAACGTGCCTCATGTTTTGGCAGATTGATCAAACTGCAATTTACCTTCTTTGGTTCCGTTTTACTTAGCTTTTTTTTTAAACTAAATCACTTGATCAACAGTTTTATACAACACGAAAATAATTGCTTGTCACTATTTTCCATGACTCATTTCAAATTCAATGCATTGTTTAAAATTAACTATCAAACAGTCCCCCCTTAAAAAGGTTCGTTTCAGTATAGCTCAATATTGCACTCCCGGTTGTACATGGCACCACTGTAGACTAGTTCTAGAAAAAATCCATGATTCTACATAGAAAACTAAGCGCATCCAAAGGAGATATTAGAGACGATATGCTCAATTTGAATTCGTTCAAACATGCGTTTTCCGTGCGCCCAAGAGTGATTTCTTTTTTTTTTCCTGTACGTACCTGTGTGCTCTAATCGTCCGTGCAGGCTCAAACTGCTGCTGGAGCTGCTGCTGCTGTTGTTGTTGTTGTTGTTGTTGTGCTGGTAGGGCATGTAAGAAGACTGTGCATGAGGATTCGAGGCGCCGGGGTAGGCGTAGCCCAAAGAGCGGCCATAGGACGCGCTGGCGGGGAAGGAGCCGTCGTGCTGCGAATGGCCGGCAGCGTGGAAGCCGTGCACGGGGTAAATGTGAGGGAGCCCCGGCGAGCGCTGCTGGTGAGCCGGATGCGCGTGTCCAAACTCGAGAAAAGCCGATTTGGACGGATCGGGGCCATTGAGAGTGTCAGGCATGAGAGCCATAGACATCATGAGAAAGGGAAGATGGTTTCATGAGTTCTGAGGAGGAGGGGGCGAAGAACCTGTACAAAATCCACACGAAAATGGCGAGAAGATCCAAAGGGCAGCGCGTCCGCAGCTCCCAGGGAAAATCCAACAAAAGCAAAAGTTTGACAAATAAAACCGTTCTTCCCAGCTGACAATGCTCCTGCGGGCAACGCTTTATTTAACACACTGCTTGTGTCATGCAAACTCTCTCTCTCTAGCTCGCTGCCCCGCTCGCCCCCCCCCCCATTGGTCTCCAGCCGCAAACTGTCACTGGAGCTCCTGCAACCTCATTAACATGCGCGAAGATGCAGCGCCGTACCGGCACGCACGCACGCACGCACGAATCAAGGCCCTCCTTCCCTTCCATACAAGAGCAACAGATTCATTCACGTTCCTCATCGTGTCATGCTCGCGGTGACTGACAAGAGCGGTCTGCGAGTCCACACCGGCGCCCAAACAGCGCCCGGAGCGCACAACGAATATCATTAAAAGATGTCTTTATTAGCTATTCGTGTTTTCTGAAAGAGAATTCTGGCTACAAGGAAAAGTGCTTGGAAAGATCTGAAGTGAATATGTGTACCCACGGGGCATTTTAACCGAGAGACAACCCCGACAAAAGACTAGACGAAATGTAGAAATCAATCACTTGACATGAGTTATTAATACAAATGACTGCAGAAAATAAAAATCAAATTGAATGGCAGGATTATATCCTCGATGTTGGCCGGAATAGTTATATTTTCGCTATAGGTAATTATATTTTGTTATATTTGAATTTTGTGTGTGCTTGCACAAACTGTCTGATGCATCCAGGTTTAATTTTGTATTCAAGGATATTTTCTCAAAACAGCTCAAATCATTTACTTCCTCAATACACGTTGCATTTTGAAGGGCAAAATTAAATTCATAATAGACACTGTAGATGCAGCTTCAGGTCATACATAAGCTCATTTCATTAAAATGCATCTATTTTCTGATGTGTTTTAAACAATTAGACCATTTCTAAATATTCCCAGCAACGGAAAAAAAAGATGGCGGCAACAGAACACATACTGCACGTCAAAAACAATTGTTAAACAAGTGATGCATTGGGGCTGCGACAAGGTTTGTAAACACCGTGGCAAAAGAGGATGGGAGAGTGGTGCAGCCTCAGCAAACAATAAATAAAATAAATGCACATACACACAGAAACATGGGAGAAAAACCTGAGTCTTAAAAGTAATGCTGTCTTCATAGTTCTGTTCAACTTGACAAAAAATGTGCTGTGGATGAAAACATGACACACACACACACACACACACACACACACACACGTATTTCTTGATCAAAATAGAGCCATCATGTGTTCACGCATATGTATTATGTACAATAAGATATGGTGTCATTGGCGAGAGCGTTTGGTGGGCTGAGCGTGTTGCTGCTGCGCTGTCCAAACCCATCATTTTGGTTAGGTCCTACTAAACGCCGCCTGCAGCTACGCGGCCATGGCAAAGGCCTGCCTGCTGGGGGCTGGACTGCTTCCCGAGCCTCACGCAGCCAAAACAGGCCGCCAGAACAAAGCCACAAATTATTAGCATGACGGGGCAATTTCATTCACAGCTAGAAATGTGAGCGTCAACACTGAGATACTGGTGAAATAATATTTAACACAACGTGAGTGTGAACTCTTACTTTAAAAACCAGAGGGGAAAAAAACTGATTCAGAGGGTATAAATTGTGATTTGACGCCTCCTTGGCACAACACTGCAAGTTCATATCGTTACTTTGCATTCATCGTAGTTGGCCGCAGGCATGCGGCGCATTGCTTTAGTGACATTTAAAAAAGAGGTGTTGGTTCATATTGTTCTGGTTTTAACATCAAAAGCATTTTGGGGGCAGGATGATGCCGGTCAAAACAAGATCCTTTTTTTTTTTTTTAGGGGTGGGGCATGACTCTTTGTGAGGGATCTGAGCTTCCGAATAAAGAGGGTAAAACAGAACGGCCGAAGGATGATTTTATTTTGGAAAAAATATTTCATCAAATAGATTGAAAAAGTTTTGCAGGACGAGTGAATCGACCTTTTAGTCTTCTATACTGACGAGAAGTGAAGAGTGTACTGGCACTCATAAAAAGTCCAGGGGGGAAAAAAAAAACGTCTCCAAAGAGGTTAAAAACATTCTCAAGACTAGCAAAGACGGCGTTGAGTGTTCAGCATTGAAGAGAAGAGGAGAGAAGACAACACATTGCATGAGAGCTAAGGTGTGGACGCACGCGCACGCACGCACGCACGAGGAGGAGGGGAGGCCCTGCCAGGCTTGTAATTATGTCTGTACAATGAGCCCAGAACAAAGACGAGCCCTGCAGTCATGGGGCAAAGGGATGGGTCCACGCCATGTCTCTCTTAATACAAACATTTTGAAAACATCAGCGCTCTCCAACGTAGCCCAGACTCGGCGGCGTCTAAACACACGCCACACACTAGGCCCGCGTCGGGGCCTGTTCCACTACAGGTGTGTGTGGCCTCGGCGCACACCAGTCGAGTCTGTCCGTCATGCGGCTCTGACGCAGATTGATGACATTCTTTGCGCCTAAAACCAAAGAGCGCATTCCGAAACAATTGCAGCGGCTCTGATCTTCCACGCTAGCACGTCATGTTTTACAAACACGCCGACCCATTTCAGCGCGGCGTTTCAAGATGGAGGTGGATACGAAATGCTGTGACTGGTGAAGGTTTCTCACTTTCCGAAGTATCTGCTCGATCGGGTTTTTGTTCATGCCGAGTTCCCGTGTAGGACTTTGAAAAGACATTACCTGACTTTGCCCCGTGTTCTCATCGGTGGTGGCAGTAGCAGGCCCTCCGCTGCACGTCCATGTCGAGAACAGGTCCTGGTTGGAGAACCTCGCCAGGAATCGTGTCAATTGCAGCACGCGTTGGAAGAGTGTGTTGGCCATGAAGTGTCTCAAACTGGCGCTGATCTGCAAACGGATACCAAATATTTAAAAAAAAACCTTCAACACTGCTCCAATGTCAATTGGCAAGCCATAGGTGTGGAAATGATGTGCTTACATAAGCTTTTAAATGTCGATGGCCTCACGTCGGTCTGAATGATACCTGAAACAAAACAGATAGAGTGAGATTTTTCAAAACACGATTTGCACCTCAACGCTAAGAAAAATCATCAAATCAATGTTCAACTTTATGTCAGCCATCTCGTAAGTGCGCGACGTTCTGAGCGCAGACACGCTTGTTAAAAAAAACAAGTCTTCATGGACAATGACTACCAAAGTACACTGTTCATTGAAGCAAAGTTCAATGATGTATTCCACATTGTGGCTGAAATTGGATTCAATTAAAAGCAATGTAATGCTATTTCGATTCACTGGGACGGTTCGGATTGATTCCCTGCAAAAGCAACACGCCCGTTTTCAACCGGTTGTTAAGCTTGCGTTTTAAACGACTCCTTTACATAATGACTGCCAGACAGCATCATCGCTCGGTGTCAACTTTTAATTGATTAGTTGAAAAAAAAAAGGACTTCTGGAACCAATTAGGCACAATAAGTCAATAAGCTTGGGCAATAATGAGAGTACTCTTGTCACACGGTCACGTGTGCTTCAAATAGCGACAATTAGGGCAATTGCATGGCTTCCACTTTGGATGGCCGCTTGGGAGTGCACTCGGTGCCGGTTTGGACTTTGGAGAGCTGGGCACACTGGTGAACAGTTTTTTATACGGTGTCCAGGGCCCAGCTGATGCACAGGCAGCATAGTACAGTAGTGCTAGTGTTTTTGCGTTACTGTGCTTGCTGGAGTGTAGCTGCACTAATAGCGCCGCCTCATGCATGCATGCATGCATCCTCCACATCTGGAACAAAGAAGCCAGTCTGGGTGCACGCTGGGTGTTTACAGCACAGTGTTTTTTTTTTTTTTATTTAATTCTTCACGCTCCTCACAAAATCTTGCCAAAGCACACATTCCAGTTTCACCAGCTCAACACGGCGGTGGGGGTAGATCTACGATGTTTTTTTCCATTGTAAATCCTGGCCACAGAGCCAGGGGAGGTGGGAATAAAACGTTAAGCTGGCACGCATCACTCCCAAAAAGGGGGGAAGAGAAAGGCGAGCAGAATTGCGACTCCGAAGAATCCCTCCTGCTGGAAAGTTGAAAGGTGGCATCGGAAGTCCGGTGAAGTCATCATGATATCTGCGGGTTAATTATTGAGGACAAAAATGCGTCTTGCATTTAATAATAATAATAACAATAAAAAAAAAAAGAAGTTAATGTCAGTAATAGAATAGTCTTGCATCACTTCAGCAGCTGAAAAAAAAGGCAGACAAATGAATAGTGCCTTTAAGTCAGCAAATAATAATCCATAACACATTTTAACAAGCTGCCGATATCCTTACATGTAAAATAGGCAGACGTTCTCGGGCTTGGCGAGTTATTTTTACAAGCTGACAGATGGAGGTGGAAACAGCGACGCAAGCGGACAATCATTTACCCCGAGGAGTCACACACACACACAACCGCAGAAACAATGAAACACGGCTACGGGTCCCACAAAAGGACCGGTTTGCCAGGTCCGAGGATTATCCTCCTGGAGTTACCTGCCCCCCCCTGGGTAACGTGAACTCACCTTTGTGGCCCGACAGACAACAATGTGCGAGATAAACGTCGGTTTGAAATGCCAGAGGTGACCAGGATGACAAGCGGAGGAGGAAGGGGGCATCTGTCTGGCCTTCGGGACAAGGGGCGGTTGTGAGGAAAGGCAGGTTAAAAAAAAAAAAAAAAGGTTCCGAGTTCCAACCACTTTAAATGGGAGTTGAGAAATGTCAAAGCGAGTGGAGAGAGAGATCGCTCAAATATGAAAATTCACTCAACTGATGCTTTTGGGGGGCGATGATATACGTCTCGAGCCCGCCGTGCAAAAGCCCCACAATGTGTCACGCATGTTAAGACCAAGACAAGCTACAAAAGACATTCTTCGTATATAGCAATAAATGTGTTCATGTGATCGTTATTCAGGATGAGTCCGTCAGCGGTCGCTTTGGCAGTCAGTGTTATTCCAATGAAGTATTTTAATTCGTATTATTTTCTTGTTATCAGCCGTCACTGCCGCGTCAACATCTTGATGAAGTCACATTTCCGTCTTTCCCTCTTCGATGGGAGCGAGTTGAGGGGATTAAGTTCGGCGGCTGACAACGAGCCTCGGTTCTGTCAAGTGTTAAGTTCCGTTGTGACATACAACGCGACACAAAGGCTCTGCGACAGCCAGACTTCACGCCCGATCAAATGACAACTTTCATAGAGAAACACAGTGAGGGGATATTACAATATAGGGTGTTATGTCTTTTGAATGCCTTTCTTCTTCTCAGATGTTTTGGAAAGATGACATTTTAAAAACAATTGGTAAGTTAAAGAAATTGATGTAAAAGCCCAATTAAACCACTCTCAGCATAGCTCACTTCGTTAAGCGCACGTGTCCCAATTCAAAGACGACACAACAACATAAGGACAAACGCTGCTGGCCGCCATTTTTGGTTTGCTCACTTGACCCCGACTTCGTCGTGCGCCTTTTGCTGCAGCGCTTCAGGTCTTTAACCTTGTCATATTAAAGAGTTTGTCACTGGAAGGGCGAGTCCACCGGGGCCAGGATGGGCCAGGGCTTTTAAAACGCTGCTGCAGCATCACTCTCAGTGTTTGTCTGAAGCCTGCCAACACCGTCACACTGAGTTGGCAAACACGAAACCGACAATGTGACCGAACTGACATGTAATGAAGAACCTTTCTTACACGTGTCGCTTTGCGCGTTCGGCTGAAAACATCACGCCGGCCCTCTTGTCGAGGTGAGGAGACAGTCTGCGTCTGAGCAAACGTTTTCTGAGAAAGGCGCAGACTCCCGTCAGCTCGGGGGGCCAAGACTGATGACCAGGAAGGAGCTACCTGAGGCAGAGATCAAAGTCAGACAGGATACATACGCCTCGGCATTTAACTCTTTCATCTCCAACCTTTTCGACACGAGTCACGACCCCTCACCTGTCTATCTGCTTGACCTCGCAATGATGAATGGCGAAGCCTACTGGGCTATGAAACGGTGATTTTGCATGCCGAGGGAAAAGAAAAAAAAAAAACAGGTATGACTACACCTCGGCCAACGTTTAACAAGCCTAAACATGACTCCTTTGAAGAAACTAAACAATACTGCTCCACTCCAGCCATGCTGGTGGCAGTAATACGCATTACAAACTCAGTGCCGACAAACATAGTCTAATTTTCACAGCACTTGTTGGATTGGAAGGGGGGAGACATTGATCACATTTGCGGTTTCTCACAAGAGTGATGAAAGAAATAAATGTCAGTTGGCCACACCTCTGCCAGTGTTCACATTTTGAAATGATCGCTTTGACAATATTCCTGGAGAGTCACAAACGTCTAATCACCGGTGAGCTATTTTTGGAATAGGCCTGCGGGCTACTCACGTAGTCCTTGAGGGCTCCCTGGTGACCATGTGGGTGTAACACCATCATTAGGATCAGGGGAGAAAAATCACAATTGATTTTTTTTTTCCCCACCCTATATGGTAATACATCATTCTGAATACATTTTTAGTAACAATAGACTATTGAATAGAAATACGGCCGTTCTCTCACGCTTCGGAAAAATAAGATTAGGATCAGGGGAGAAAAATCACAATTGATTTTTTTTTTCCCCACCCTATATGGTAATACATCATTCTGAATACATTTTTAGTAACAATAGACTATTGAATAGAAATACGGCCGTTCTCTCACGCTTCGGAAAAATAAGGAAAAACTCCACACAAAGACAAAAAAAAAAAAAAAACCTTGATGCTCCTCAGCGTGGGGTTTTCCTCGCCGAGGAGGCTTAACAGTGGAGGGCTATTTGCATTCCAGCAGTGAGAGTGAGGACAATTAAGCCATTTCCCCTCCAATCTATCTCCCTCCAGCCAGGCAGCCATCCAGGCAGCCCGGCACATCAATGGGAAGTGCAGCTGCTCGGCCCATGTGGGCCAGGCCGCGAGACGGAGGAGAGCAGAAGATTGGGGTTAAAACCCTCCTGGCCCTCAGATTGGCTCCATACCTGAGTCAAAGTGCAGATGAATCAACAGCTGTTGCCGAGCGAAGAAGGGAAACGAGAGCTTCTAAACGCATCTGTGAAAGCAGGGGAATAGCGGCTACTTCGGGCCCGCTGTTTATTTTCCAGACAGCACGGGCAAGGGTTTTGCATCCAGAGTCATTTCGTATCGCACTGAGGGGATTCATTTGAAGCAGAAGCGGTTTCAGTTTCCCACCACGGGCGCTCTAAACTGGCCACTCCAAAATCAATTAGCCAAATCGCATTTCACAAAAGTCGCGCCGTTGTGCCTTCAAGCGCTCAGGCTCCTCGGGTGTCAAAGAGTCGGCTTAGAGGTGCGAGCGGCCGGCTCGGATTTAAATTGCGTGGGATTAGACCCCCCCCGCCCCCCAAAAAAAAGCCACAGACACCCAGTCACACCTGTGGAGCTCGAGCCCACTAAAAGAGACAAACTTGGGTCCAAACGGCAGGTGCTCAAAACTTAATCGCCCATCTCGTGGGCCTTGCGCGGGTATCACTTTCATTCATACCCGGCGGCGGACAGAGTGTCCTGAACTTGGGCATAATCACAGAAACATCTTTGTAACGAGGACCTCCATCTACGCTTGCCGAGAGACCAGATGATCAATCATTTACATGTGTAATTAGGAACTGGTGTCAAAACAGAAACTGTACACGCGCGCGCCGTGGGCTGACGTCAGACTTGGCAAAGAACAATTGAACCGGGGGAGAAAGAGAGAGACAATAATGCAGAGAGAGATTTTTTGCCACCCACGGAAGGAAGCGCTTCTTAAATCGATGTGTCGCGTCAGCGTGCTTAAAAGTGATCTGCAGCGATACAAGCATGTCCCCAGAGAATAACAATTAAGAGACTTGGCTGCGGAGATGAAAAGATGACTCAAGCCGAGATGTGTTTGTTCAGGCTTTACAATCTTAAAAAAAACTCATAGTTGAAAAAAAAAAAAAATCCTAAAGCGCTATCAAAATAGCCAGACAAAACAACGCGTGCCGAGTAAAGCTCACGGCGTATGGTGAACAAACAGCGCTTCGCTTCATGAATCCCCTCAAGCGCACAGGTCAAGCGACTTTTGTTTCCCTCAAGTGGTTCAACGGCCTCCTGAGGTCGTGACAAAGCATGACAGAGCAAAAACAAACACGGCGGAAGGACTTGCTTTGAATACACTTGGCGAAGGGACAAAAGGACGTTACGAATTCAACGATGACGGGAGCGGTAAACATCTTGACGGCGTTTATGGCCACTATGATTTAGTCAGTCAACAAGTGCAAACATTGGATTGATAGCATGTGTTGCCTGCCCCTGCTACCTAAAATTTAGACTTTAGAAATGGGATACAGTGTTGGTGCTACTCCATTTCCCAACTATAGTTTATTTTCTTTAAAAAATAAAAAATAAAAAGTTTAAATTCACACGTGAGTCATGTCCTCAGCAAATCATTTCGACCCACCACAGAAAAATTTGCAATACAGTATTCTGCAAGACAAATGTTCCACAGGAAGTTGCATCACTCAACCTATCGGGATCTCAACTGCCTTTCCCGCAGTTAACGTGCGTGCTGCAAGACGACGGGCAAGGGAATGCAAAAATAGCAGTGCCCAATAATCCACCTGTCGCTCGAGGGGGATAGGTGTGGCGCGGCAGGCTTTAAGGAGGGGATGTGTGCAGGCCACCGTGACTTATGTGGACTCATCCAGCCGTCACCTCAGCGCCCAGAGGGGGTTGAGTGGGTGTTTCAAGGAGCCCGTCTGGGATGTGAGTTTAGAGTTTCTCGATACGGAGTGGCTGAGTGGCTTTGAAGAGGCAGCTCCGGTAATGAATTGGCGTATTGTCTCCTTCAAGGGAGAAGAAGAAGCCTCTGGGTGGGACATCACATGAAAGGCTCCTATTTGATTACTTATAGCGTTGGTTCAGGTATGCAAGTGGACACAGTGGAGCGTATTAAAAAAGAAAAAAAAAAAAAACAACAGACACTTAAAAAGGACTTAACATGGGACAAAATCAATTAGATCGGTTAATACCTCAATGTATATTTCGACCCAGGCTAGAATAAATTGATTGTGATGTGTAGCCTATTGATTTGATTTAAAAACAAGATTAAAATTGAAGTGGAAGTCGGGCTGAAGATTGAAATTGAGTCGAGCTCGGGTGGGGTGTCGCTGAGGGAAATGTGGGGAGTTCATCTGAGTTGAGCTGGGTGGAGTTGCGTTCCGGCGGAGTCAAGTTCGGGTTGGGGCGAGTTGAGTTGAACCAGGACGGAATCCAGTCGCGTCCATCTGAGTTGAGTTGAGGTGAGTTGAGTTGATCTAAAACAGCGCAAGGTCAACCCGTGGATTCTCGTTTGTTTCATTAATTAGACGCTGTGTGTGCATTATGCAGATAACTACCCCCCCAAAAAATAATGACTATACGTTCTCATATTACAAAATACTGTACATTCCTGATTTGTCAATAAAACATTGGTTGTCTACTCCCACATCTGGCCGCCCTGAGCAGCTACAACTGCATCCATCTGTCAACTGAAATCCGATGAATAAAAGAACCAGAGAGGCTGTGGGGGTGTTTAATCTCAAGCACCAATTGTTAGAACGAAGTCACGGACCGTTCTTGTTTAAAACCAATAAATAATGAGGAGGTTTTAGCTTTCCTTGGAAAACGCCAAGAATGCACACCTCTTTGCAGATTGACGCCAGGCATGTGCTACAATCATTCACAGCGTGATCTGGACAACTCTCTAATCATACGGTGTAGACAACTATTTCCTCTGTAGGAGAAAGATATTTAGAATCGAGTGGGTCGCACTCAAAGTTAATGAACGATTTTAAACCCGCAGCAAATCACTGATGGATTAAATGGCCACACCCTATCGTCCCCCCTAAGGGGTGGCGTGGCATCACGGAACCCCCCCGCCCCCGCCCGAGGCACATCAACGCGGTCTCCAGACTGTATGCGCTGGATCGCTTTCCGGTGGGAACACTCGCACTCTGCTGGTGCTTTTCTCCCTTCTGTTTCTCACCAGCTGCGAACGTTGCTCAGTCAGCCATCCGTAATGTTGTAATTGCCAGGTTTCTCTGCTGCTTGCAGGCCAAAATGCACGTATGGCAGCTTCGGCGAGGGGTGATTAGGAGCCCCGGCAAAACTGGGTGGGGTCTGAGATCATTTCCACACCTGTCGCTCTCACCTCGGCGCTCTGACCGGCTGTCCTGTGCCACAGTTTAATGCGTTTTGGTGGGCGCAAGTTTGTATAATCCCGCACAAGCAAAACTTTTAACAGCGACATTTCCGTCGCTTGCCAACAAGGGCCACCATCCCCAGGTCTCAATTAGCCCTGATGACTCACCTAAGCGGAGCTTGTGTTCAAATAAATGGCTCTAATTTTTGCCGGGGAGGCAAAATAATTGATTTGAGGGCCTGGAACCACAAAGCAATTACTGATCACTTATCTCTGTTTGTCAGGTATCACAGCGCAGCTTTCAATAAACCAAGTATAGGGGAAAACAAAAGCGTACCTTGAGGGATCTCGTCTCCGTCTGGGGAAAAACAACCTGGATGCAGCTTGCCAAGATATACGCAGAGAGCGGTATTCATTTTCTTTTTTTTCAATTAACTGCGCAATCACAATAATGGCAACGTCAATCATGAAGAATCAATATGCTCTATTAATAACCCTTTCATGCACCCTGTAACCTGATAACATGATATGCTGTCCACTGTAGTAACCGCCGTCCTTGAAAGGGGTTAAGTAAAGAACGAGATTCATTATCACCTCTATTCTTTCTGATCTGAAAACGACAAAGCTGGTGTCGGCAAAAGCGATTCTGTTCCAGGTCAT